CTGTACTCTGATCATAGCTCCCTCGGCCATCCTTTCCCCCCATTTTGGCGGCCGTGCATCATCATTACCATTATCATCAATATCCACAGCGAATCCCGTTCTCTTCCAAGTCCACATAGAGAAGCTGTCTGGACTGGCAACTGAATTGTACTTCAACACTGTTGATGGAATATTGTTATTCACCAGATGTAATGGGAGTGGGGAGGACAGATTATATGGCATGCACAATTCTGTTCATTAACAGAGAGGAAGGCCCCCATGACCAAAGGTCCTCGGGCTTGTAGTACAAAGCACACTGTCCTTCCACTCACTTTATCACTTCAGTAAGGCCATAACACTTGAACCATACGATCTAACTGTGGAGGTAACTGTAAATTTGCTGTTACACCACAAAAGAATGAAGTTAACACTAAGTTAGTATTATAATTATGTGGTGGTTATAGTTGCTATGTCCCTTGACGTTAACATCTGGCAGTGCTATCACAGGATTTTCTTGGCAAGATTTGTTCAGAGGGGGTTGGCCATTGCCTTCCTATGAGGTTGAGAGAGTTTGACACACTCAAGGTTGCCTCATAACTTTCCATAGCTAAGCAGGGATTTGAACCCTATCTCCTAGAATCGTAGTCCAACGCTCAGACTGCTACACCACACCGGCTCAGGTAACTGTCATATCTCCATTAGATTTTTTTTAAAAAGTAAGAAAATGAAATAACATCATTGAATAATGAAAGTGAAGTGGTTATACCTTCACCATTCAAAAAAGGAATTAATTGTAAACAGTGGTAACTGATAGCTTCTGTATCAGTGGGCAGCTAATACAAATTATTTGTAACTAGTTATTTTTCACCTCTCACTAAAGCTTGTCCTTATGACCAGCATCCAACATTTCTCATCTCATGTAACAGGTGAAAACAAAATAATTAATGCAGCTCTACTACTCATGGGGTTGCCATAGGTCCACAGTCACAGGTGAATTCAAAGCACACACACACTGCTCACTACAAGTGTAATGTGGCATATGACCAACTGATAATTCAACACAGATGAAAGTTTCATAACGCATTAACACAAAATGATTGTTCAATGGCTGAGTGGAAATAGAGCCATTTCCCAAACATTCTTTTGCATCCTCCACTAGAAGTGTTGGGTGACTGGGGAGAAAAGTGGAATCTCTCTCTCTCTTTGAAATGAGATATAAATTCTAGGAAACTAAAATGACCAGCTTTTAATAAAATAGTATTTGTTTACCCCCATATCATTTTGACATTGTGAAAATCAAGATTAGGGATAGCGCACAGCCAAGCTTTGTCTCATGGAAATGTGTGATTTTGTGAATCGACAGAATGAAGGAGACTCATGAAAATGTTTTCTGTAATGAAATTCTTAAGACTTTTCCACTGAATCTTCTCAAAAAGTAAAGCCATGCAGCATGTCAAGCAATGTCAAGGGAAATTAAGAAAACTCATGTGCTGTTAGGAAGTACCAGGTGGAAAAAGATATGTGCTTCCCTCTCCACTCTTGAATATCTCTTTCTGGATGATTTTATTGCTCATGAAACTTGTCACATTAATAGATATTAGGAATTCAACTTTAAGTACTCTGAGAAGTAGAAACAAGCTGGGATTCTCAAGAAGACAGCCTCTTTTGACAGCCTCAGGTGCATTCTGTTTAAAATAGGAAGATGATCATCTAGCAAAAAGATGGCATTCCTTTAAAGAAATCTGTAGATTCAAACTTGGATCTCCATCCACACGGCCAAAGTTTCACTGTGGATGGACATGCTTGGACCAGGGTTATGCATGGCACGTACAGAGCATAACCACTAGGTGTGTGTGCAGTTCTGTGCCTCTTTCTCCAAGTCAAGCCCTGAAGTGCTGATGCTTTTGTTACTGTGGGACTCCAAGTCATTTTTTTACTTATGGTGACCCTAAGACAACCCTATCATAGAGTTTTCTTGGCAAGTTTCTTCAGAGGGGATTGCTATTGCCATCCTCTGAGGCTGTGGCAGTGTGACTTGGCCAAGATCACCCAGTGGGTTTTTATGCTTGAGTGGGAAATTGAACCCTGATCTCTAGAATCGCAGTCCAACATTCAAACCACTAAATCACACTGACTTCTGCAATTGCTCTTAAATTATGGAAGGAGAGGGGGAAGGAGGGAGGGGCCTGAATAGTGAGGAGTCAAGAGGCATTTGGTGGCTTCCATGTCAGAGGGGTGGGGAATCCACTCCAGGTTTGGAACAAAATTTGAAGGTGCCATCCACGCACTTAATCTGTTTTGGAAATACAATTCAGCACTTTGGACAGCTATTTCAAAGTACAGGCATACTTCAGTTAACAAAGCCTCTGACTGAAACTGCATCTGCACTACAGAAACAATGCAGTTTGGCACTGCTTTAACTGTCAGGGCTCAATGTGATGGATTTCAGGGATTTGTACTTTTGTGACCTATTTAGCCTTCTCTGCCAAAGAGTACTTATGCCTCACAAAACTACAAATCCCAGAATGCTGTAGGATGGAGCCATGGTAGTTAGTGGTGTCAAACTGCATTAATGCTGCAGTGCAGATGCAGTCTAAGAAGCTCCTTCTAACAGTTTTTATGCCTCCATTCACCCTTTTATCTCCTTGTTTTCTTTATAACTGGAGGGTTGTGGGTGATGGAAGACTGGAAGAACACATACTTTTGGTGTTGGATTGCAGAAGTGTGTCTGTAGTGAACAAAGTAAACATAGTAAACAAAGTAATAAACAAAACTAGAGTAAGGAAAGAATGGAATTCTACTCTATCTGATCCTACTGTAGCCATGTGTGCCTTACTACAAAAGGAAAGGTAAACAGCAGCTGCCTTCAAAATTCCTTACTGAGCGTGTGTGAACAGCAAAACAACAAGAAAAAGGAGAGTAAAAAAGCCTATCTCATAAGTTACCCCTAACTTCTTCTTCTTCTTTAAAGGCATAGCCCTATAGACCAAAATGGAAATCATAAGAAAAGTGGAGGCTGGTGAAAGAAAAAGTCATCCCAAGTTGCTGTTTGGAAGAATCTTTCAAGCGGTCTCTGGAAGGTTCAAAATGCTTGTTTACTGATGAAAGGCTTACTTGACCTGGTTGTTTCATTGGACACGTGCCCATTGTTAGTTCTGAATTAATCCCCTTTTCTTTAAGTTCTTCTTGTGATAATATTCTAAGTTTTCCATCTTGAAAACTAATTAGATTCCCAAATGTTATCCATTTATCATCGGTAAGATTTTCTCTTTTGTAGGTGGCCTTATGTGGTGATATCCAAATTGGAGTATGTGGGGAGCATCTCTTCTTATAAACCTTTCATAGATTAAGCAGAGCTCTTCTTATAAAGTGGTTATTAAAGTCCTTATTAGCTTTTTCTTTATTGAACCAAAGATAAGTGTGCCAGTGACTTCCTTATTGACTCAATCAAAATGCACAATATACATGTTGCAAGCTTTCGAAGCTCCACTGGCTTTTTCATCACCTTGCTTGATAAAGAAGCCAATGGAGCTTTGAAAGCTTGCAACATGTACATTTACTCCTCCTAATTCACAGGGGATCCATTCCGGACCCCCTTGCAAAAATGGCGACTCGCACATATTTGAGTCTCATAGAAAATATGGGTGTGTGTGCAGGGCCACATGCAGGTGCGCGCTGCCATTCTGTTAATGGCTGCTTGTCTCTCCCACAAAGAGCAAGGATATAGATTCCAAGCCTGTGAAAAGGGAGGGACAACTGTATATTTTTCATTTTTGTTGGTTCCACAAAAGTATCACTGATGGATTTTTGATGTTACAGGACTCAATATGTTTGTTGTTGTTGTGTACCTACTAGTTGTTTCCAACTTATGGTGATCCTAAAGTGAAGCTATTATTTATTTATTTGGAGTACTTATACCCCACTCTTCAACCACAAAGGCTCTCAGAGTGGCTTACAAATGGTT